AAGTAGTCTTCTAGGAAGTTCAGTAAGGGTGCTATCAAAGTGCCAGTGTTATTGTTTGACTTCAGCAAGTACAAGAGGAAGCTCAGATTGACTTCAGCACATTATTGCTGTTGCAAGATATGAAATAATAAAAAAAAAGGAAGTCTGAGAGCCCATTAATTCTTTAGAACTTGTATGACAAGTCATAAAACTGGAGTTGCAAGCATAGATTTGGTAGAATTTGTTAATACAGGGTTTAGTCCTGCACAAGGAGCAGGTACTCCTGGTCATTTATGAAATTTTCTGTATGAAGTGTGACTGCAGGAATGTAAACCCTTATTTCTAAGAATTTTCAGTATTTTGTTTCATATATATGAACTACTAAATACACAGGATGCTGCTTCTAGAGACACTATTTAAAAATTATCAAATTAAAAGTCTCCATGTCTGATGCTGTTGATGGAATTGAGATGTATTCAGTGTTCAGGACTTTAGGAAATCACTGAGAAGTTGATAGGTATGTTCCTTTTGCTGACTTATCTATTTTCAGTAAAAAGATATTTGCAACTGATTTTGTGCTAGCAATTGGTACATTATGCCTAATTCCTCTTATATGTTAGAGTCCCTCTTCACATATTTTAATTTTTCAGTTTCTATTTTTTTTTTGTTGTTGTTGTTGTTGTTGTTTGCTTGGCATTTTTGTTTGATTGGTTTTCGGTTTTGTTTGTTTGGGAGTTTGTTGCTTTGCTTTCTTTTTTTGGTGGTGATGTGTTCAGATGTACCACTTTTGCCTTCTGGAAGGCACAGTATGGGTCAAGGAAAATATTAGTCCTGAAAACCAGAGAATTGCTAAGGATAGGGATTAAAGGCATGAGCAGTATTATATTATAAAATTTTTCAAATTACTCTGGACTAAAAGTAATGATTTCCAAAACAATTACTATACCTTAATATTTGCACATATTAATAATGTACCATATGCTTGGCTTAGCAGTACGGATGGAATACATCAGTCTACCAGGTGCAATATTCTCTGTGGAAGAGAATATATCCTTGGAATATCCTGCTCTTTTTGTCACCTCAGTTTTAACTTTTTCTATAACTTGATCTGAAAATGATGACCAGCTTGAAATCTGTATAACTTGAAGGCTTTATCAGTAAAACCCAGCACAGTTATATTTCTCAGTGGCTGTGATGTTGAAACCTGGGGAAAATCAATTTTTTCTTTTGCTGAATGGTATATTTGAAGCATTTAAAAAAGGTGAATGAGTGTGCTGAGGGCCTGTCATTCTGAAAGTACTTTCTTATGCTGCATGTGTAGGTACATCTGCCTGTTAGCCCTAAGAGGCTGTGTGTGTTTGATGCATTGGATGTTGTGTCAGCAGGAAGGAGAAAAAGAAGAGATGAGGTATATCAGAAAGAAAGTTGATAGCAAATGGTGTTTTGAACAGTCTGTATCCCCCTGTGTAATATATTATGGAAATAATGATTCTGTCAAGTGATGCTTCTTTGTAACCTGAAGTGATACAGTAGGGATTATGCATGCTCAAGTCATTCAGGACTAGGTATATATAGTTGTCTAGAAATGCTGTAAGAAGTGTCTTTGCCATGAAAGACTTCGTTAGAGATGCAGTGGCAAGAAGTAGATTACTAGAAGAAAAACACCCTGAAGTAGTTTATTATTATTGTTATTATCATTATTGGTTTAGCTAGAAATTGGCACAAATACATTATTTTTAATCCTGTTGTTATGGAGTTATCTTTTTTTTTTTTTTAATTCCCTAATTTATCTTGTATTTAATGATTAATTATGTTCTTTAACTCATTTTCAAGCTTGCTCAAATATAGTTGTTTCAAAACCATAAAATGTTGTTAATTAATTAGCATAGACAGGCACTGAGAAGTTGGCTAAAGGTTTAAAAGGAGGTGTCAGGAAGCCATAACAAATAAAACATGAATGTAAAACCATCTGTAAGAAAGCCACAGAGAGATGCCAGAGGAAGTTATTATACTAGAATAAAGAGCAAAATGCTTCTGACCTGTATACTCTCATTGAGCAGAGATCAAGAAATGCAGCCCAAAAGGCAGGATAAAGATAGCGTGCCCTCTCAATGGATTGGCTTATGTGGCTGCTCTAGTTTGAAGAGATTTCTGTGCAGGGAAAACAAGCTGGTGCTCCTTGCCAGAGGAGGATACTCTGGCTTCAGTCAATTTGATGTTTCCCTTCTTCTCCTGAAAAACATGGGAACTCAAAATATGGTTAAACAGCATGCTGCATTTTAGGAATCTTATGTGGTATGGGAATTATATGCAGCATAATTGTCTTCAGAGCTGCCAACATATGCAAGGTTGGACTGTAGGTTTGGAGTTTCTCTTCTTCCTCATGTGGTTCTTCTAACAATGAAAGGTAGCACAACTTTTTTTAGTTTTGGGTGCAAAAAAACCAAAACAAATACAATTTACCAAAAACCCTACACACAAACCCCAAATCACACCAAACCAATTTGAATGCTGCCTTGCAATTTTGTTAAATTTCTGGGATTTTAGTTTGAATAGAAATTCTTTAACAATGGGATATGCCTGGTTTTTATGTACTTTGTACAGGTGTTAAGCAGGAATGTCGCACAGTGTATTTCATTTCCTCTATTAAAATCCTTCCCCTCTCTTGGTTCCTCCTCCTTCACATTCCTGTTCCTTTCCCACGTACACAGAGTTAAATAATATCAAGTTTATTTTGCTTCACTGCTTTAAGAAAAATGAATGCTGGAAATGGAAAAAATTTGATAAGCAAAAACAAAAAGGAGGAAACATGGAAAACAAATTCCAGTGACCTAGGTAATATAAAATTGTTCAATGATAAGTACCAACATTAACAATTTCAGACATCTAAAAATGTAAGATCAGCAATTTGAGAAACATTTATCTGGATGAGATAGAAAGTTATACATGAAACATAATGACTTCTCTGAAATTCATTTAGGATGCAGAGGTACTTATTTAGGCAAAGAAGACAACTAGTTAATCATGTCAAAGAAAACTAGAAAGTAAATTAGTTTGCTGCATTCTGGAGTCCTAGCTAGGAAAAAGAATATATTCCACTAATTAAAGAGTGAAAATACTCTCAGCTTTTAGAAAGGGAATGCAAGGAGAGTGAGACTGATCCTGGTTTTGTACAGCAACCCACGTTGTTGGTCTGATACAATTTTATTATTTTATCATTTAGGCAGCCTAAATGAGTAAGAGATCTTAAATTGTCATTATATTGATTATATACAGCATGATAGCTCATAATGAAGATTATCATGCATGGCTTCAAAACCTAATTATTATGTATTCTTGGAGCCTCCAATGAAATTTAGCCTACATGAACATACATGTAATTAAAAAGAAAATACTAGAAACTTCAAAATTGCAGTAAGAATTTAAAAATCCAATTTAATTTTTCAGAGGATTATTTTCTTGATTGTGCTTTAGGTATTTTAATTTTATCATTATGTTTTTATACTTAATGATACAGGAGTGTGCATTCTAGATGTTTTATGTTATTTTAAAAAACTAGAGAAAGTGAAGATCACCTTGTTGCTTGGGATGAGAATTGTATTTTATCTGAAGACTACATAATTTTACATAATGAAAGCTTCATGCACAATTCTGAAATAAGGTGGTGGTTTTTTTACCTAAAAGATTTAAAATTATCAGGTTTTTTAAACAGGAATTTCAGTAAAGAATCAGTATTAGACTCTGTGTTAGAAAAAGATATAAATTTATCTCTAATATCTTTAGTATAACCTCTAGTATATTATTTCTAATAAATTTATCTCAGACACCTTTCCTGTGGCTGAGTCTGCCCCAAGACCAAGTCCTTATCCATGTAAATGTCATTTAGCTTTTAACTGTAGGGGGCTGAGGGTCAGGTCCTCTCTATCTTTTGCATGAGCAAAATTGATTTCCATTAAACTGAATGAGAACAAGATCAAGTTCTGCCTGGTTCCAATGCCGTAGTTGTTTGTCGTAGTGCTATAGTTTTACAGGACTTCTGTTCTAAATTCAGTGTGTATGTTTGAGGAAGACTGTGATGTTTGGCCTCCTTTGATGCTGCACATCAGAAAAATATCTGCTGTCTTTCTCATTAAAAATAAGTTGAGAAAGCGAGTTATTTTTTCAGTCTCTCACAGTTTATTACATGCTCTCTTAAACATTTTTATATGCGAGTCAATGTCTCTAGAATGCTTTTATATTGAGTTTGGTGGTTTTTAATTTCAAAAGGTCCTTGTTTGTGGGCGATATTTATTAGGAAACTCAGTGTGTGTACATGTGTGTGCACAATGTGTGCATTTATTTATATCTCTGTAGAGTGAGGCGAAGGAAGACAGTATTGCCTTTGTTCCATAAGATCTACTCCTTAAATTGTCTTGCACTTTTAAAAATGCTTAGACCAAATATGGAAACTTAGCTCTAAAGAAAAAATGTCCTGGAAAGGTTGGAACTAATGAAAAAGAGTGGGCTTAGTCTCTCAACAAGGTAATTTTCATCACCGTCATGTTGTAATCAAATAATGTAAGAGATTATTTCTAAGCAGAACTGGAATTAATCATATCAAATCAGCCTAAAATATGATTTTGCTACTAAAAAAATTTGTCTTTTTATGTGCATTTCAGAAACATATGCAATAAATATTTAGACTCGTAATTTACTACACATCAGTCTAAAAACTTGATTTGCTATAATCATCAGAATTAATTAGCTTAATTGTTTTTCCTATCCCATCAATCTCAGTTTTGTACTAACTCGAACAATGACACCTTTTGCTGTTTGCACTTTAGTTCGATTTCTGTTCTAAGTTTATGAACAGTAATAGGCATCTGCTAGAATATTCATTAGCTTTGAATTGTGAGCTATGAAAAGGTGCTTTCTTTTACCTTAATGAAAGTTGCTCAGCATGGGGTGGATCAGTAATGACATTTGATTTTAGCCATCCAACGAATTTGCTTTTTATTTATTGACACATCTTGTCCAAACAGCTCCCTCGCAAGTTAGTGGCGTAATGAAAGAAAGAGTGCTGCAGAGGAGTGTGGAGCTTTCCTGGCAGGAACCAGAACATCCCAATGGAGTCATTACTGAATATGAAATCAAGTATTATGAGAAAGTAAGTGCTAAGATTATCTGTAATGTGCAACAATGTGCTGTTTGCTTTATGTTGGCTTGCTGCATTGTGGAACAGTGTTAAAATCATCAGCTATCAACTACCTTGTCTCTCCAAAGTCAGTGATTTTTAATAACTAGCTAAATCCTGCCATTATTGTTGCTATCATATGTCTCAAATATTATATTTTGGCATACTAAAAGTGAAATATACACTTGAAATCTGCCTTTCTTTCCTTTTTTTTAATTGTTAAGTTGTACTTGGATATTTTTTATCATTAAATTCCTGTTTTCACATCTATTCTACATAGTGTTTGAAGCTTGTTTCATTTCCTTCTCTACCAATGTAATTCTAGTCTTGAAATGATGTATCAAGTACAACTCCTGACTGCATTTTGTATTTTCTTATGAGCTGGGCAGTTCAACTTGTTGTCTGAAAATTTTCAAAACACTTCCTAAACTTTTAGGAAATAAATATTCCTTATTTTCCCTTTTAAAAAGGACCAGGACTGTGAAACTTATCTTTCACTTGTTCTCTCAACACAATAATGGATTGAAGGCTGCTTTTCAGTAGTAGATGAAGTGATCTCTGTTTCTGGTAGAGTGAAATTGCAATCTTACTGATGTCAGTCGGAGTTTTGCCATTCATTTCAGCATGTCTAGGGCTTCATTCATGATAACTTTGAAGTACTGCAGAATAAAAAAATTCTGACAACCGTAAACTGGATGAAAGCAGAGTGAAGGCAGGTTGTGCAGCTCTACGTTTGTCATGGGACCCAGACTAAGTTTGGCTCCTCCAGATTCTCTGGGAAATTGTCTGCATAATATAACATACTCCTAATTTTTATAAAACATTCTGTGAAAAAAAATAATTAAAATGAAAAAAAACTAATAAAAGGACTCCTTTGTGGTCACTCATGACGACATTTCTGCAGGTGAGGTAACAGTACCCCTATATCAAAAAGAGCATGTCAGCTTACTAGGTAACACAGAGTTAGGTAAATTCAGCCCAGATTGGATGTAATATCAATTGTCATATTTCATTTTCAGTGCTGTATTACACAAATATACTTATCAAAAGATCTTTATATGATTTGGGAAAGGAATAACATTTTGATTTGTTGAGGCTAACTTCCAATTTAAGTTGTTCACTCTAATGATTCATATAATAAAATCTAACAGATAGGTACATATAGCTGAATAATTATTTGGAAGAAATTTTTCTAATTTTAGCAGATGATTTTTGTCCCTCGAGCATGTGTGTGTACATACACATGCAAATAAAGTCCAAGTATTTTTAAAATGTTACATATTTATGAAGGGAAAAACTGTCCTCTGAAAGAAAAAAAAAAATAAATTGAGAAACAAAAATAAAAAACTTTGCATTTCTTTAATGTGCAGAGCAGTTTCTAATCTGTTCAAGTAAAATAAATAATTTAAATGGGTAATGTAAAATGACAGAAAAATTGCCAAGATACCCAGCTTTTTATATAATGATAACTTTTAGAATGTGGCTTTTATTATTTTCCCTATATACTCATTTTAAATAATCAGCAAAATTTCATTGCCAGTTTTCTCTGTGTTTGCAAAGAGAAAAACTGAGATTAGAGGTTTATTTGTTTGTTTGGTTTTTTTTTAATGGAAGGACATCTTCCAGTATTATACTTAGTACAGTGAAATTAATAAAAGAGAATAAAAAGCTCATTCTAACAGTCAAAGATAAGCTGGACTATATCACTTTAAATGAGGCAATTTTTGCACAAATACTGAAATGGTTGTTTTCCTTCCAAAGAAATGCATTTAAGCTTTAAAATTAATTCACAATCTTCTTGTTCAGAACAAGATAGGCCATTTAAGTTTTGTTCCACTAGTTTAGAAGAAAAGAAAAATAAAAGGATTTGATATTTTGTCTCCTTTTAAAGCCAAATTAAGTCAGACATTTTTTGTCATTCTGAAATACTCTGATAAGTGTTTTTTTTTGCCTCTCACTTCTGGCTAGGGCTGGAATGGAAACAGCCTGAAATCTCCAAAGTAAGCCTGTCCTGTGAGATTTCTAGTGCAGGTTATTTTTATTTTTTTGTTATTTATTTATTTTTGAATATAAGGACTGTTGGCAATTCAAATAAGCCTCGTTTATGCATCAAAACCCAAACTGAAATTCCACTGTGGCTTACAGTCCTGAACCTGACTGTTTATGGTTTCCTTACACTTCCTTACACTTGTGTCTCATCTCTCAAGCATTCCTGTTCTTTCTCACATACCAACATTTATTCTGCCATGGTCCTCACTTACAGATGATTTAAACTGTCTTGGAGAAGATATGGAAAATTGTTGCTAGCCAAGACTGGGGGCTTGCTCAAGTAACAGGCTGGGCAAGAACCAGGAGAAGCCCTTACTGAATCTGAGAAAAGAAATCATGTATGTTCTGTATATAACCCTCTAGTTCAGCAAAAGCCTTTGTTGCTTTACTGACTGTGACAGGGAAGGCTCTCCATCACTTTTAGCTGGTGAAATGTTATTGAAATGAGTTACAGATTTATTCCTTCCCTCTGTATCCGTCTCATTAGCACTGCTGCGTTCAGCTCATGCTTCTCTGGTCATGTGGTGCATTCAGATGGTTGGTTAATTCATCTCTTCTGCCCTTCAAATCAGGGTTGCATCTGCCACCAAAAATCAACAGGGCTTCACATATCTGTGCTGAAACATAATCTGTGTCAGTAAATGTGATGAATAAGTATAGATTTTTGAATACTCTAATGATCTGTGATACAGCTTTTGTGCTATTTGAAAGTGAGTTATTACTCATAGGGTTTGTAATCTTGCAGCTTCAAATTTGTGGAGAGCCATACTGAGCTTCTTTCCCTGGTTTCCTCTTTATGCCTTGGAGCCTAAAACTGAGAAAAGACTAAAAACCAGAGATAAAAATCTGAATGAAAACTGAGTTAAGGACCTCAAAAATTATGCAAAATCCAGCCAATTATACATCGGTGATATTGTATTTTTTAGAGGTGATAGAAGGGTACGATGTCAAAGTAATGATGTCAGAGTTTTTCCATTCATTTCACAATGTCTAGGACTTCATTCATTATAACTTTGAAGTACTCTAGAAATAAAAAAAAATCTGACAGCTGTAAACTGAATTAATGCAGAATGAAGGCAGGTTGTGCAGCCCTAAGTTTGTCATGTTCTGACCATGAAAGAAAAATTTCCCTGTCCTTGAACTGTTTAGACCTCGCAGATTCCCCTGGAAAGCTTTGGTTGAGTTTTTTCCTCATCAAAATTTCACAAAATTTAATCAGAGCCAAAAAAGCAATCCTTTTTTTTTTTTTTTTATATATATTTTCTGTTTTCTGAGTAACAACATGAGCATCCCATTTGAATTTTATGTTACACTTAGAGCTCTTCCTTGCATTGACAATGTTTTGTAATACTCCACAGAGTATGCTTTATTTTTGTTGTTTAGGGGAAAAGAGCATTCAGCAAACTGTAATAAACTACTGAGGCTGGCTGTCAGTTGCTGCTGTGCAATCATGATAAAAAGTGATCTGTAAATGTCATTTAATAGTTTTTCTTATTGTTTCCAGGATCAAAGGGAGAGGACCTATTCAACAGTGAAAACCAAGTCCACTTCAGCTTCTATTAATAACTTAAAGCCAGGAACAGTGTATGTTTTCCAGATCCGTGCTTTTACTGCTGCTGGTTATGGAAATTACAGCCCCAGACTGGATGTTGCCACACTGGAAGAAGCTACAGGTAAGGAATTAGGTTTACAGGAAATTAAACCTTTCTGTAGAGGTAGTAAGTGAAGCAAGAAAGTGTCATAAGCAATATAATTACAATTAGAAAGAATTTGGTTCTACATGAAGGTGAATTTTTAACATTGTCTTTTGAAGGATGAGCTTCCGTGATTTATTTTACCATATAAATGAAAATTAGTCTTATAATTGGCTGGAGGAAATTTGTTATGTATTAGGTTCTTCTCCTTTCCTCTCCTTCTAATACACAAAAACGTTTTTTTTTTTTTTAAATACACACTTCTTTTTCTCCACAAAAGGAGTGAGTAGTGGTGAGCTGAATAACTCAACTAGATCCTTCTGTAAGTGGGGAGGGAAGGAAGGGAGATTTCAACCCACAGAGACTTCTCTAGGCTATTTTTTTCCATTTGATTTTCTGAAAAAAAAAACAAAAAAAACCCCAACAACTTGGTAGTTTAGTTTATGTGTGTGTCTTCAGCTATAATTCTATCTTTAGTGTATTTTGAATTAATTGGTAATTTAGTTTAGTAAAGAAATGGGAATCTCAAAGATACTAAGTTCTTTTCAGGCTCATATAATAAGTTATAAACTGTGTAACCAAAAAACTTATTCCATCAGTGAGACCTGGTAGCCCTGAGCCCTTTCACAGGAACTGTATCCCTGGCAGCTCCACCACCCTGTTGTTACCCTGGTTTAGAGCGTTTGCTTCACGTTGACCTTGACATCAGGGCAGCCAGATTGGGAGCTGGAAATATAGGAATACATAGCCTGTGAATTCAAAGGCTATGGATGCCATACCCTCTTAGCACCCTACGCAGCAGCCTAAGACTGTGTGCAGACACACTTTAATTGCAGCCAGGTGTCGCCTGAACAACTTGTGGTTAATCTTAATATACAGTAGTTAAGTCTTGATTCCACCTTAGTCCCACTCAGAATATAAAAACTATAAATAATGAATAATACCACATACCTAATAGACATAATTGAAACAGTAATTATCATAATAGCAGCAGTAAGCGGTTATTAATATTATTAGCTCTGTGTCTAATAGCACACTTCCCATCTGTAGAAAGAGTCAGTAGCAGAATCCCCATTTTGCTGAAAGGGAACCTGAGGTACAGCCAGAACTAATTTCTTATTTTGAATAGTTTTCTGGAAAACAAATTAGAAGTCTGTCATAATAAGTTTCTGCTAATTAGATAATTTATTGTCCATGGTGGTTTAAAATTATTACGTCAAAATATTTCCCCAATATTTCTTTAATTATCTGAGTATTTTTTACATACTGAATGTAAGCAGACTGGTAGCTGCTAAGATTAGCAAAGATGATTTCAAAGGTAAACAGTTTTGACTGGAGTTTGGTCAACATATGGGGGATTAGAAAATCCTATAATAAATGCATCACTGACCACTCTCCTGTACTCCTTTTCTGACTCAGATGATGAAAAAATGCATATAAACCACAGAGATTCTTGGCCAGGATGCGCAGCAGGTTTCTTTTGTCACAGGCCAGCTATATGCTTTGAGATGGAATGAAAAATGTCCTGTGTTTTCATTAAAGAAAATTCTAGAAGTAGCATATTTTCCATTCTCTTGAGACAATATTATAAAATATAATTCCCAGCAAGGATAAGCATCGAAGATTTCCCATAAAGAGTTTTAAGAAATAATTAAAATGTTGGTAAAAAGATAGCAAATTCCATTAAGCTCTTCTAAAGTTGTTTTACATTAAAGTATTAGTTTCTTATATTTTATTTATAATTTTATCAGAACTTATAGACTCATCAAATTTGTCTATTGTTAACATTTGAATGGAAGACCTTTACTGGATTGGTTTTGGGAAATATATCTCAAGGGACATACCATGCAGGTTAACGCTAGACTGTATTATGCTAGTTTAGAGGCTTTGGCTTCTTCTCATTATTCCAGTGGATTTCTGAATTCAGCTTTTAAAAATGTCAAAGTATTTTAAGAAAAAAATGCACACATTTATATATTTGTGCAAGAATATAATAATGGCCACCACATTCAGTCATGTTGCCTGTGTGGATTTGTCCTGGCACTTCCTCTGGTTGGCACTGTTTGGTTGGTGTTGTTAATTAAGTAGATTTTTGAATAGTGTGCTGTTTTCTGAATTTTGATAGAAACTGTATAGCTACTTTTCAATGTTTGAGGAACTATATCCATTATATTAATACTATCTGATATGTAAAATATACATATATTATACGTGTATTGGACCATATCATACATGTTGAGTATTGCGTAGAAATTTAGGGAAAATTTTCAAAATTAGGAAGTAAATATGCTTTATAAAGGCAGACCATTTCTATTCTACACTGTGTTTGCCACAGATCAATCAATGGCTCTAATCATTTTTTTTTTTTGCTGGCTGGTTATTAGAAACAGAAGTTCCTCTAGAAAAACACACAAATTCATAAAATATCACTGAAGTGTCAATTCTATCTCTTGGTTCACTGACGTATTTAAAAGTCAAGTTAAGTGGTTTGTAGCCAGTGGACCTAAAGACAATCTTCTGCTTTTTGTAATGGAAGCTGATCTTTTCACTTACAGAATCACAGAACCAGTTAGGTTGGAAAAGACCTCTGAGGTCATTGAGTCCAGTCTTTGACTTCTTTACAACTCTTACTGTTAAAAGTAGAAGCACTTGACAAAACCTGGCATGAAGTCTTTGCTTTTTCCTTTTTCCATGAATCAGAGTAAATCAAACAAGATTGAAGCTTTATGCATACATAAAATTGATCTCCAAAGTCTGAAATACCAATGCTACAAGTTTTTATAGAAGGCATAAAGTACATGCTTAAGAAATACTTAAGAAAATAGTATTTGGCATACATAGATCCAGTTATCATTGAAGCTTTCATGGTGAACTTCACCAAGAATTCTTTTCCAGAAATTGTGTATTTGAAGTTGCTTGCGTGAGAAAAGGTTGTTGGAGCAGCAGCACAGCATTTTCAGCTGATATCCTTTTTTAAATCCTCCAGGGTGTTTAGATGTGCATTCCCATTCCTACAAACATGTATTTAAAAGCTGGTTTAAATTCAACTCCTTTAAATTAAGCATTGTGCCACAAAGCTATCACTGGATAGCTCAGATCAGGTGTCAGTTGTAGCTGAATGCCCAAATACCAGCTCCCTGTGTCGCCCTCTGAGCACAGCTTAAGCAGAGGTAAGAACTTCCCTGTCCTGGTGCTGATTCCCTGTTATGGCTGTTGTGGCATCACCAGTGACAGGTAGCTGTGCATGCACCCCCTGAAAAGACCTTCTGCATCCCAAAATCATTCCTCTAAGAACACTCTAGCATCTTTGTTTCTGCCAAGCCACAGGGATCATTCCAGAAGCTGTGCTCTGATTCACCCTTACACCAGCAGACTGAGTTCATCGCACAGGAGAAGCAGCAGAGTACCTGAACAGAGGCAGATGCCTTACACTGCTGTTACTAAATTTGTACCAGACCATGCCCATAATCAGCCCCCTACCCTCTTGTTTTTAAGGATATAAAAATAAATCGTACATTGCATCCCACCTGTCTTACCAGTTGGCCAGTGTACCATGTCCCCAACATTTTCCAGAGCCCAGAAAACATTTTCTGCTTGCTTCCAGAATGTACCAGTACCCAAAATCTGTGAGGCACTTACATAGAGCAACCCACTCACATATGTCAGCCTCTATGCACTTATCTTGGCTACTGGACTAGGTGGCAGGCAGGGCTGGGGATTTTTCCAAACTTTTTTGGATGGATAAAGCTTTACATCCTGGCCAGGATGCTGCCTCTTCTTCACTTCCAAGTGAGGTTTGCAGTGAAGTTCAAAGAGAGATGGAAACAGTTTAAGGAAATGCTGTATTTCACAGAAATTTGAGATTCCTTGAGATTTTCTGTTTTGATGACCTAGATAAGTTTCAGGAACTGAGTTGTATGACTTATGCCCCTATGCTCTTGAACAAGAAAATCACCACTGTTTTCTTAAAAGCTGCATGAGTGGGATGTAGGCAAGTCTACAGTATCATCCTACTGACCCGTGTATCTCAGAAAGTTATAGTTACTTAAAGATGAGCATTCTTTTTTAGTTACAGAGTTATAGGAATAGTGTGATCTTCCTCTTGTGCATTAGAGAGAATATAGAAAAATTACAAGTTTCTTCAGGAAATAAAATTAGAGGGGTGTTTGTATGATGTGTGTGTAATTTCCCTCCAGTGCAGAGTATTCTAAATCTGTGTAGTGCAACAGGGGGTTTGTTATTTTGGGGGGAACAGTTGGTACAGGTCAGTGTCAATGAAAAAATAAATCATGTTGATTGGCTTACTTCTCCCAAGAAAATTCTGTGTTATTTGTTTCTATGGGAACCTCTGAAGTCTGTAACAGGAGCCCTGTTCTGCAGAGTTCATAAAATCTGGTGTAGACATTCCAGTTCAGTTACCAGCAGTAAACCATATTAGCATACCATTAATTTAGTTAATCAGCTATCAGTTTGTTTTCCTTTTTTTCCTTCTCTTTCATCTGTTGGCTTCATTTCAGTCATGGGACAGTTTACACGGCCCCAGGCCTGCTGGTGACAGATGGGGTTCACCTATCTTAAAAGGGGAAAAGGATTCTAACCTGTGAGTTTGCAGGGCTGATTGACAGGACTTTAAACTAGGTTTGAAAGAGGAAGGGGGTAAGACCAGGCTCACTAGAGGTGAGTCTAGGGGTGACATGCCAGTGTTGGGGTTGAAATCAACCCAACTGAAGTGCATCTACACCAATGCATTCAGTATGTGTAACAAACTGTGAGGGGATGGAAGGAAATCTTATAGGCAGAGAAACAGGCCGTCCCTGTGCTGAAAGGTGAGCCAGTGGGGAAGAAAACTGGCATGGATGAATAGGGAGCTTTCACTGAAAATCAGGGGAAAAAAAAGTTTGACCTTTGGAAGAAAGGGGCAGGAAATTCAGGAAGCATATAAGGATGTTACTAGGTCATGTAGAGAGAAAACTGGGAAGGTGAGAGCTCAGCTAGAGCTCAATCTGGCCACTGCTGTGAAAATACAATAAGTGTTTTTATAAAAAAATTAACAACAAAAAGAGGGTCAAGGAAAATATCCTTCCTTTTCTTATGTGGAGGAATGTAGCCAAGGGTGGGTAAAAGGCTGAGATTGCAGACGACTGCAGATTGGACAATGTGACACCCATCTACAGGAAGGGCTGGAAGGAGGATCTGGAGAACTACAGCCTAAGGTCAGCCTGACCTCGGTGCTGGGAAAGGTTATGGATCAGATCATTTTGAGTGTGATCACAGGGCACGTACAGGACAACAAATGGATCAGGTACAGCCAGCTTGGGCTTTGGAAAGGCAGGTCTTGCTAGATCAACCTGATCTCCTTTTATTACCAAGTTACCTTCTCAGGGGCTGTAGTCCACCTGGAATTCAGTAAAGCCTTCAATACTGACTTCCACACCCTTCTTCTGGGGAGACTGGCAGCCCATGACTTCAACAGGTGCAATCTTTGCTGGTTAAAAAATGGCTGGATGGCTAGGCCCAGAGGGTGGTAGTGAATGCTGCTACATCAAGCAAGTGGATGGTTACTACTGGGGTTCCCCTAAACTCAGTAATGGGGCTAGTCCTGTGTAATGTTATAACTGATGATTTGGACTCCCTCAATAAGCTCTCAGGCGACAGTAAGTTGGACAGGAGTGTCGATCTGCTGGAGAATAGGAAAGTTCTATAGAGGGATCTGGACTGTCTGAATGGATGGGCCAAAGAATACTGTATGAGGTTTGTAAGTAAAGTGTTGAGTCCTGCACTTGGGTCATAACAACTTCATGCAACACTACAAGTAAGGGGAAGAGTAGCTGGAAAGTGGCCCAATGAAAAAGGACCTGGGGGTGCTGATCAACAGCTGGCTGAACATAAACCAGCCCAGGTGGCCGAGAAGGTCAATGGCATTGTGGCTTCTTTTAGGAATACTGTGACCAGTGGGATTAGGATAGTGATCATTGATCTGTATTTGGTGCTGGTGAGGCCACACCATGAATTCCCCATCTGCTTCTGGGCCCCTCACTTTGAAGAGGACATTGAGTTGCTGGAGCATGTCCAGAGAAAGGAACAGAGTTTGCAGCAGCGCAAGTCTGATGAGGAGAAACTGAGGGACCGGGGGTTGTTTAGCCTGAAAAAATGGGAGTCTCAGGGAGGAGCCACTCTTTAAAAGTACCTGAACGGAGCTTATAAACTGAGTGTCGGTCTCTTCTGAAGGACAAGAAGACAGAGCCTCAAGATGCACCAGGGGATATCAGGAAGAATTTTGTCACTAAACAGGTGTTTAGTAATTGGAATGGGCCACTCAGGCAGGTGTTCCAAGTGCCACTGTAAGCCGCATTTACTGCTGTAGTTTAGTTGATATGGTGATATTTGTTCAAAGGTTGGACTTGATGATTTTGGAGGTCTTTTACAACCTAAATGATTCTGTGATTTTGTGATTCTGTGATTCCATCTGTCTCTCACTTACACAGTCCCTCATGTCTCATCCTCTATTCATCTTCTGGTTCAGATCCTCGCTGTTACAAACCAGTGCATCTCCAGAATTCAGGAGAGCTGTGCTTACTTAATGTATCTGAGTACATGGTCACCCTTATTAGATGTCAGGAAAGCAATGTTTTTAACAAGCTTCAAGGTTTCTCAGGCTAAGTATTACATCCTCAGTTTACATTAATGTGACATGTATACATTTGCATATATTAATAGAATTGGCATATCTGAATAAAAAGAGCAATAAAGTGGGGATATTTTAGCATGTAAATTCTCTGAAGCATGGAGAATTCTATTTTGTATTAATGTGGAAGCACCTTTTTGTTGCTAACAGAAACAAATGGTAAGTAATAATAGCCATTTACAATGATTAATAGCAGTAAGAGATTGAAATATGCTACCTAGGAAATCTGTGTTAATAGTGTTTCAGCACAAACATTTTTCTTAAAGACACTATTTCCTTGGAAGCCCTCAAAGTCATATCAATGAGTTTTAGAGGGGAGGCTAGGAGCAGAGTCAGGAATTACGCTCCTACTGTCCCTCCTTACAGGGATATCCAGGACTCGTCTTTTAGGAGGGAGTCAAAACAGGTGTAGCAAAGCAGGAGTTGGGAGGGGAAATGACTGATGCTAGTGGTGCTGGCTTTCAGGTAATGGCTGCACCACTGTGGCCAAGGTAATTCCAGCTTGGCTTCTTTTTACTCAATGTTTCAAACAAAATTTTATTCAAATGTTTCAAACAAAGGCAGTCTACAACAGTAGACAGTCTACAATTCATGATGATTGACTTAAATTTTTGAAGTCCCTTAGTAGGGATTAATTTTTAACTAATCTCATCTCTGTACTCTGTTTGTAGCCACAGCTGTTTCCAGTGAACAGAACCCTGTTATTATCATAGCTGTGGTTGCTGTGGCAGGAACTATCATCCTGGTGTTCATGGTGTTTGGATTCATCATCGGACGAAGGTATTGCATCTTTGATGGACGTAAGCACATCTGACACCACTCTTGTGAACTCTTGAGACACAGTCAAACCTGGGATAGTAATTTGCAAAATTGAAGCAGAAAAATTCTTATGAAGGACAGTTTTCATTTAAATCCTGTTATCAATTATATGGTTTGTCCTCTTACTTTGGCAAAATACTTGTATCAAGATGTTCTTTTTGTCCTACGTAAATGTGCTGTAAAAGGAACCCCTAGCAGGTTCTTTACCTCTGCTCCTCAAAGTCTCTCTTTCTGTTCAGTTTTCTCACATGGAGAAAGTCTGACACTTTATCTGATCAGCCTTTAAATGACTTTACATTCAAAAAAAAGAGACACAGCAGTAAGTTTAAGAATAACCTCATGTAAAACAGTGTTCTACTTTCAAGTTCTTTAATCCTCTGTTTTATCTGTAGAAGCCTTTCACCAGAACTGGAATTTTTTTCTCCAAGACCTGTCCTGACTGGTATTTGATACAAAAGCCTTTTGATTGCAACTGTTCATGATTTATTTAAAACTCTGCTGTCAATAGAATTATAGGTGAAAGTTTCAAAGGGCCTACAGCAGTTAGGTGCTCAGTGCCTGAAAATCCCAGCCTGCAGAACTGATTTTGTCAGGACTTTAGATGTGATAAGTAAATCATTATTTACTAGTAAAACTGGTGTTTTCCTTTCTTTCCAGGCATTGTGGCTATAGCAAAGCGGATCAAGAAGGGGATGAAGAACTTTACTTTCATTGTAAGTGTTTTGCTTTTTCCCCCCTTTCAAAAATTCCAAATTGCAATAGCGTAGACAATATTTCCAAAACCAAGACTTCATGAAAGATAATGCCATAGGAAATTCAAAAACACTGTGTAAATAGCAAGTGGGAAGTTAAACACTGTAAAAATGTGACCTACAAAAAAAGAGTGCAGATTAAAGTCAACATTGCTCACACAGATGGTTTTATTTCTATATATGTCTATGGTATACTGTTGTTTTCATTCTGCATATTTTGTTTTATTTTGGTTGCTTTGAATACATGTTTCACATTGTCCTAATGATCCCTCTGAGGTGCAATATTCAAGAGACCATTGCCTGAGTGACTTTTTGATCTTTACCGCAGGTGAACTTCAGATTAAGAAAGTGTGAGTCACTGCGTCACCCTAAAATTAAGCTGTTCTGCTCAAAAGCTATGTTCTGCTGCTGCAAATACAGTAGCACCATCAATATTTACAAAATATAATGTCCTTAAAAATAGAATATTTAATATGAAAAGAAAGGTAGCCACTTCATTACTGTTGTGTGATCTACAATCACTTGCTTAGCTAAGAATAGTACCTAAAGCCTGTCTTGTTAAAATCATGTCTAGCATTTCAACTTAAACTAGAACCCTGGGAAAACTCAATAAAACACAGCCTTCTTGGATTCATGACAATTCAAAATGTAAGGGGAGAGGAATGTTTTAATCTGTTTTAGAATTAGTCATTATCTCAGGAAGCATGTTAAACTAAGTTGCAAAATTATTTTGAGCAACCATAATTGAAAAAATCACAGAATTAAACTGAACATAAGTTCTGATGCAGAACAATGCCAGTCTTCTCCCATACCTGGTCACTCTCAAATTAGTACATGCTATTTAGTCATGCTATGCTGTACTTAGACTTTGTTGTCTACCAATAATTGCAGTTGTGTCTTAAATCCATCAGATTTTTTTTTTTAATTAAAGTAATAAGGCTTCTTTTAGGTATGTTAAAATCATGAGCTATTATCTAAAAGTAATGTCACGTGGAAAATGAAGTAGCCACTAGTCATAAATTCTAAGCATTTTCTCAATGCATTCCTCTTTAAATGAATAGTTCTACCCAAAGCTCCACTCAAAATCAGATCAAGGTTGTTTTACCTTTCTTCCCTGAAATAAACAGCTGGAAATTGATCACATTTCCTAAGTTTGTGTGTGTGGCTATCTAAATTATTTAAATGCAGTGAGTGTCAAACTAAGTAGTGACATCATTGCAGCTTTAGTCAATAAATTCATAAACTGTGCCAGAAAGGTGGAAAATAATAATGAGATAAGAATTATGTATCGTGCACTTTGCAGTGCAGCTGATTTTAAAGAATTTTTCAAAAATCTCATTTTACTTAAATACTGCTCTTCTGGGAGTGAGGGATTTGAAATTTGCCTCTCATAATGAATTATAAGCTTTTCACATCTCCAGAAGAGCTACTACTTTTACTTTTAAAATCCCCGTTATGTCCTTGAAGGAAAAGATCAACTATGTATTCCTGTTTTTCAGTACATAAACAAAAGGGATACACTAACTAAATATTTTCTTCTCTCCATTGTTGGTGACATTTTTTTTTTCATTTCAGTAAAAGTGTAAATTAATTAATTTGAAAGTTGCTACTTAATAATTGATAGTTGATCCAGAAATGGTGAAATTTTATAAGTGTTCCTTTCCCTCACTTTACTTTCAAGAAATCTGGTTATCTAGTAAATTAACCTGATTATTGAGAATACACAGTCTTTCCTAAATAATGGGAACAGATGAAAGTCACTTCTTGCCAAACTAGTCTTCCTTCATCTGTTGATTGTAGGTGTAGCATTTAATTTAATTTGGTAGCCATATACAGAGTGAGATGGAACCCAATGCTGTGGCCACCAGCTTGGTGACAGAGCTGTGAACAGCAGTTTGGTGGCCTTTTGCTCTGTGATAGCTAGACAACATTCTTCTGCACTGAGGTGCCAGACTGGATTTTCAAAAATGTAACTTACAACAAGCACTGACTTAGAACAAAAACTTACAAGTAAACATTTTTTAAAGCAGATTTTAAAGCAGTGCATTTAATGGACCATCCTATATTTCATTTCAGTTCCCTTCATCTCTCTTTGACCTCAAGTGCTACACTTGAAGATACAAGTACAATGGAGGAGTTTAGTCAAGCAATTCAGATTTATATTTGGTTTCCTCCTCCCTTTTTCATCTAACAACGTCTGCACAAAGCAGGCCAGCATTATTTCATGTTGCTATGCCAGGATAGCCTTGGCCTGTCAAAATGTTTTATGACAGCTTAAACAAAGACCCGTCAGAGGCCCACTTGAGATTCACAAGGTTACTTCCAGTCCAGGCCCTTTATCACAAACACGAGAGGATGTCTCCTTCTCCATCTCCTTGCCTTAAAGCATTACTGCCAGAGGTCAACCTGCTGCTTAATTCTCATTTTGTCCAGTCTTTTTTGGTTGTAAGAAATAAATATTTATGATTTAAAAAAATATCAGCATTCAAATTTCCAATACAGCTAAGAGAACATCTATTTAAATACATTATGTGACAGATAACAACATCTGGGCAACATTTGAAATAATTTTGCTGGATGTAAATTCATTATATTACTGAAACAATTACTCTAGGTTTGTTTTTATTTTTCTTATGGTTTGTTGATTTAGGTCATTAATACCAACTAAAACATAAATACACATGATTACTAAGCTGTTTTTCAACATCATTTCATATTTAATACATTTTTTGTTAAATTCAAAGAATACAAAGCAACTGAAAATTATTTATGTTTTGTATTGAGTTTTGATCCTGTTCTTTTTTATATCAATTCACAGAAGAACATTTCTGCATTTTCATATTGAGTTTTAATTCACTGATTTAATTAAAGCTCAAGAGTGTAATCCTTGTGAGCAAATTTATATCATAAAAATTGATTGATTAATAGATTTCCAGGAGTTTGTACTTTGACCAGAATAGTGAAAGATAATTTAGCTGAATCATCAGCAAACTAAGGGAAAAAACTACATGCTGGCCAGAGCACTATGCTGCCTGAGCTGTACTAAGCGTGGAGAAAGAATGAGCAAGAAACAAGTTGCTGCATATTTTTCACTTAGGTGCTTAAGAGGGGAGATAATTGTGCCACAGAGGCCACTTTGCCTTCCTGTGCCTTTACAAGTTGGCTGCAGGTGTTTCTCATGTTCATATTATAGTGCAAGAAATACACCTAAGGCTGTAATTTCTGAGTGCTGTGAATAGTTTGACTATTGCCACAGTCTACAAACAATATTATATTCAGTAGATTAAGCAAATTCAAGGGGGTGGAAGAGCCTTTCAAATCCCACTAGAGGAGAGAAATAACATAAAGAAATGCTGTTTACACATCCTGGGTGAAGAGGATACGATGTCCTTACACGGAAAAGAAACTTTCACCTCCTCTGCTGGTGTTATATCCTTTCCCTGCTTTGTTTTTACTCCCATTCAACCCTTGCATTTTATTCCTTTAAGCATTATTTATTATTTCTTTCAGTTCAAGAGGAGATGCAGATGCTAATGTTAGTCATTTTTTAGAGATGGAATTGTTTATACTCGTGTCAGCATGCTTGCAGATGATGCCTAAAACTAAGGTTGCCTCTCAGAGTGGCTCTGGCTCAGGCACGGAAACAGGTTCACTCTTCCAAGGAGCACTCTGCATAATGAAATTCCTGGGCTGACTGCACAATAAGTGCTTTTGCTTCATCACAGTCATGCTTTCTTACATCATTACAGTTAAATTTCCAGGCACCAAAACCTACATTGACCCTGAAACCTACGAGGACCCAAATAGAGCTGTCCATCAATTCGCCAAGGAGCTAGATGCCTCTTGTATTAAAATTGAGCGTGTGATTGGCGCAGGTAAGGCTGCCGTGGCTTCCTGATTCAACTGTTCCATTTAGCCGGGATCGAAACTCATTCATCATAATGACAGGCAAATAATTATACCTCAGGAATAGAAGAACTTTTTGAATTTGCCAGAGTGGTTAAGAGCAATGAAGCCACGCTTGCTTCTAAAATGTAAAAAAAATAGGGGAAAAGCCCAACTACAACTGAAAAAAAGCAAATAAATGAGTAAATGAAAAGTCTTGCTTGACATTGAAAGCTTATGGGTTTTTAATCAAGTATCTGCTGTTAAATTTGGAACTGGGGGGAGTGGGCCAGTTGTGCTGCCTATTATTTACTGTCAGAGTAAAGGCATTAGGCATTTGTGCAAATTCTACTTGCTCGCCTTTTGCAAGGGGGCTTTTTGACCTCTGCAGCTTTGTTCATATGAGTAAGGAAAACTGGCTGCAGCACAAAATCTTAAGTAGAGAGTGGGAAGGTCTTGTTTCTGTATAGCAAAATCTTCCCTAAGGCTGTTTTTTCTTCTACCATTTTTCTTCTTGATATTTTATGAATACAAAAAGTTATTGTTTTACTTCTTATGACTGATTGTAATTGCTCCAGCACTACATTGCTTTTTTTTCTCTTGAACTGTCTACCACCTACTTAAGCCATGGTGTTCATGCTCTAAAAAGGCAGTTTCATTTGTTTGCATTAATAAGATACGTGACATTTTTATTGCACTACTCCATGTAGTGAAATTAAGTTTCCATGAGTAAGAAAAATATCAAATACTTTGGATTCCTGGAGGAAATGTTCTTTTGCTTTCCCGTTGTTTTATATAAGTATTAGTAGAATTCTTTTAAAATCACCCTGTAGTTTTGTACTCTAAATTACATGTTGCGATATTATTTAAAAACAGAAGAATAAAAATCTCTAGAATAAGTTGTTTTACCTGTAAAAATATCTTTACACTTAGAATTCACAATGCCTTTTAAAAGTAACCTCAGTCATGTTGAATCATGTCTTAATCAAGGAGTAGTACCATTGAAATTAACCAGACTGCTGAGCTAATTATTCCTTAGATGAGTAAGAGCATAAGAATCCAGCCCTTGCTAACTAGTAATTTTAGTGATGCCAGAATGGCAGCATCTCTTCTAATAGATACACAATATGCAAGATTAGCATAGAAAATTTGCTGAGCATCATCTTTTGCTTTGAGTTAAAAAGCTACCAGTATAGCAACAGTTCAGAGCACAAAGATATATTCAGTTGGACTTTTCTAATGCCTTCTGAAAAAAAATGCTGAAAACACTTGAGCTGCAGAGTATACAGTTTAAAATGCTTTTTCACTGTTATGACACATTCCAGAGTGTTAATTTTCTTGACTGCAGATGAATTTATTCTTGATTTTAATTAGTATAATTGATAGCAAAAACAACTAACGTGTGTCAGTAGTCAATCTGAAGAAAGTTAATTAGGAGTGCAGTGGTGAAAGCATATTGTGTATCATGTTTAGCTATGGCTTTAACCTGTTGACGTAAATAGCAAACAGGAGTGAAATGAAATGCAGTCCAGGAACAACAGAAGCAAACACACCCAAAGCAGCATTTGAAACTCATACATCGAAGAAGAATATGGAATTTCTGCTGGTGACAGCACCAGAAAAGCCACTGAGCCATCTCAATATGCACCAGCAATGCTGGCCACATCAACTATTGAGTAGTGCCATGTCTCTCAGACACAAACAGGGTGCAAGTATGCTTGTACTCAATTTGCATGAGGGATATGTGCTTTCCTCGCCAACATTTTCATTACCATCCCGCTGTGGCCACCTGGCAGATACAGAATATGGTGTCCACGATGTTAAGTTGTTCATACCACACATCCTTTGTTTTAGCCTCTGCTTTGTTGACATGCTGAGCTAGTGGCTGTGCGGCTGTGCAGTATTCTCTCTCTTGTTGTCATATTTTCCAGTTTATTTTTGGGCATCATTTCAGCTGAATGTACTATTTTCTTGGGAATAAAAGTAGTTAATTGGCTAGCATCCTGGCCTGAAATGCATAACGTACAAGTTGAAGTTTCTGGTTTGCCCAAGTGTGTGTGATCTGCCTTTGGAAATCAATCAAAATCAGATCACAGAAAGCTGGAAAGGAGTTAAGCTTTTAGTATCTCCTGTGCCAAGTATCCTAATTACCTGGCTCTGAAATATCACAGACACACAGACACACTCCTATACTCACGTCTTGTTTTCGGCATGGAATGAAACAATTTTGGAAAGTGTTGCTAGAGAAAATTGTTATCCTTTAGGAAGTTCTTGCAGCTCGAGCTGTGAGTGAGGTGACTGGTGAATTCATTAATACTCATCCATGTTGCTAATGAAGTGCAGGAGGGAGGTTAAGGCACCAAGCTAGGGACATGAGCAGTTTTTGTGTATGTAACAGCTGTACCTCGTGGCATTCTTAGCTCAGTGCCCAAGGATGATGAGGATAATAGGCAGGCAGGAGCACTTGTGTGGTCAATCAGCTTAGGTACAGCACAAGGTGTATGGAATTAATTTGAACTAGGCTTGATTCAGCTGGCTTAAAATGCAAGGGACAGGAATTTGATTCTATATGCAGTCATCTCCTACCAGGGTTGTGAAAAAAGCCATACTGAGTGGAGGTTTGCTTAAACAAGTCTGTTAAAAATGGTCAAAGACATGGTCAGAGTTCTACCCTTCTGGATGAACTGTGAACCCAAGACCCAGGTACTGCTTTCTTCTTTCCCAAAGCTTGATTTAGGGCTGATAGGAGAACAGAAATGTTCAAATACTGATGGTGTCATAAACAGCAGCCAATCCATTAAAACACCCCAATATCTCTCTGTTGAGTCATTCAGCCCAACTTTGAGCATACTTCTCTCCTTGCCAGTGTGCATGCCCACTAAAGTCCTGATCCCACAAGGTTTCTCACAAAAGGGTTCTCTAATCAAACTCTCTGTGTAGGTCTTGTCTAGTTCAGTAATTTTTTCAGCACTTATCCTAAAGCACTTACCCATGTCTTAGATGTAGGAGTGTCTGCATACTTGAGTGTACGTAACAGCTTAATGTTAAGGCTGTTATGTACAGATATGCCAGAGAGAAATTTCTGACTTGATTTGGTTTGGGGGAGGGACTTGGAACCATATCTCTCAAACTCCAGATGAGTTTGTAAAGTACCAGATTATCAAATATTTTTGTGGTTAATCTTTTATTCAGTAACATCTGTTACTACCCTCTTCTTCTATGTATACACGGAGATTTTTCTTCTTGTCTGCAAAATTGAAGATCTCACTTTTGCTCTCTGCTGTGACACAGCTGTGAGGCAAGGGACAATTCTTAAATCTTTGATAATCTCGTTAATAGTGAGGTAGATATATTGCCATTCAGCTTCACATCCCACGTGCTTCCATCCTCTTTCCCGATGGAGTCCAATTACTTGTCTTCTATATTTGGTTGTTGGAGCTTTTTTTTTGGTGTTCTTGCTGGCTGTTTGATCTTTTTTATCACAGGTTTCTTCAAGTTCCAATCATCTGTTAGTTTAGAACCTTTTGCAAACTTGCAGTATTTGCTTGTGTTTGTTTAATGTAACAAAATTGTTATAAGTCACACCTTTCATTTCTTAATCTGTAAAGTAAATTATCCTGCTTGAAGGTAATAATGTAGTGCTTCATTTAACAGCATAAGGATGCTAAATTAAAAGCAGCTCTGCAAGACCTGCCTTTTGAAAGAAAAAAAGCCATTGCAACTAAAGATAGCAAGGAAACCATGTAGAGCAGAATGACATTTTTACTTAGGAATGGTATTACTATTTCAATAATGGTGTTTTCTTATGAAAGCCACTTCAGTTTTTATTTTCTGTTTTTTGAAAAAATGCAAGAAATTATTAACCAGTCTCTTAAAATATTCAAATTATAGTCCTGTCAGTTGGCTTAACTGAAGTGTTTATTCCTTAGGGGTCAGCAATTCATTTAAGGTGCATGCTGAAGTAATCAATTTCAAATATGAACACATTAAATTTAAACACACACTTAGGTGGTTGTTTGAATCAAGGCCTAAAAAAAAATACTAGTATTCAGAGTAATTCAGCATTGATCTACTTCATTTTAGGAGAGTTTGGTGAAGTGTGCAGTGGGCGTCTAAAGCTTCCTGGCAAGAGAGACGTTGCAGTAGCCATAAAAACTCTGAAAGTTGGCTACACTGAAAAGCAGAGGAGAGATTTTCTGTGTGAAGCAAGCATCATGGGACAGTTTGACCATCCCAACGTGGTTCACCTAGAAGGAGTCGTTACCAGAGGTAAGCAGCACCTCGATCTGTCAGTCAAATAACAACACGATGGCAGAAATTACTCTGCCTTATTCCTGGTCAAAGATTCAAATTTTAAACAGACTGCACACTCCTAATGGATTTTCTCCTGATGCGTAACTAACTAAAACAATACTTACTTCATGCTACAACCTGAGGAAAAAATTCAGATGCACGCATGATTAAAAGATGAAGTACTTTGAAACATATTATTTTTCTAGTTTCATTTAGCCTCAAAGACCATGCAGAGAGATAAGGTTTCTCATGTCCTTTCATATAATCTGAAGTGTCATTATTCCAGAGTCCTGTTCACGCAGCAGGAGTTAGGAGAACACACTGACTTTTTGATTTGTATAGTTCAATTTTATGAATTATGACCACTTTCCATGCAGATATTTAAGAAATTAGAGCTCTGTAACAGTGCTGGAGGGCTCAGAAATGTTCAGTGTCTGAACGATTCAGTCCTTCAAAGGAATAGTGTGTGTTTTATCAAAAAAAGGCACTCCATTTGTTTTACTGTTCTCAAATATCTGTCTTCTTTTCTTTCAGGGAAACCAGTCATGATTGTAATAGAATACATGGAGAATGGGGCCTTAGATGCATTTCTTAGGGTGAGTACCAAAATGAAAACTTGTATAAACATATTTAAAGTGACATATATTGTATACTGACACTTTAAAAATATGTCTTATACCTGTGCATATATATGTATACATGCATATATAATTAAATATAGTTAAAATATGCATTCTATTTCTATTTATTATATTTAATTAAATATAATTAAAATGGTTTTCAGGTTGAAATGGAGTTTTTACCAGTACTAGCAGGTTCTCTATGTTGTTTCAGCAAAACCAGATCAGAAATGAGAAGGTCAGACAGGATTGTGTGGGGACATTCTGGAATTTATGTGATTTAGTGTGGCATAGACATGGTGGTTTTTATTATAGCCACCAGCTGAAATTAAAACCACTGATACCCGAAGTCCAATCTTTGGCCTTTTGGGAGCAGAATTTTACTGTGTCAGCATGGTGGAAATCAGCATAAGAATCCCTAAATGAATTACCATTCTGTCTAAGATATGAACAACGAAAAAATAAATGTGAATTCAGAACAATTTAGTGGTTTTTAAGTGTGTTCTGAACTCGCCAGTTCTGACTTCTTACCAGGTATTCATGTCAGGGTGAGATTATATGTAAACACTCTGAAGATAACACTTTTTTTTTTTTTTTAAGAAATGCCAAGCTGTGAATGAAAATTATCAGTAGCTAGGGTTACAAAAAGGAGATAGTTCTTATTTTCTTGATACAAATAATTGTTCTGAGAGATGAAGAGCATAGAAGTAAGCTATAAGAACATTAGGAAATCTTCATTAGATAATCTCTCCTGAAAGTGACTTGCCGTGAGTTAGTGAGAAATATACAGTGGTTAGCAACTTTTGTTACTATCAGTACATTAATTATTCACACATTTCTTAACTGGATGCACTACTTTATCTCTGAAGAAAGTGTGTTTGAGGTGAGTTTCTTTGCCACAGAAGGAGTAAATAAGTGGAAAGCTGAAGTCATAAAACTAATCCTTATTTCTCTTCTCAGCTATACTAACAAGAATTGCTGCTCCTTTGTTCCCTCCAGAAACATGATGGGCAATTTACTGTCATTCAGCTAGTGGGAATGTTGCGAGGAATTGCTGCTGGAATGAGATATTTGGCCGATATGGGATATGTACACAGGGATCTCGCAGCACGCAATATTCTTGTCAACAGCAACCTTGTTTGTAAAGTATCAGACTTTGGCCTTTCCAGAGTTATAGAAGATGATCCAGAGGCTGTCTACACTACAACCGTAAGATAAATCAATGGGTTTTAATAGCTTTGAGATAGGGTTATTTAGAAGAAATATATCTTCTGGAGAGTATAGATAAGACAAATACATTAATTGATGGAGGGTTTTAGCCAGTCAAAAGGAAGAGTCTCTGCAGAAATCTGTCTCTAATTAGGAGAGAATATTTTTGTAAGAACGGACATTTTTATTTGACAAACCACTAAACATTTTGTATGGTATCTTCTTTATTCCATTTCTCCCGATTTTCTGATTGAACAAATAAGGAAGTTTTACCCACAAAAATTTTAAACATCTAACTTACTATGAGTCAATTAAAATATTTGTAGGCTATTACTATTTTTCAGGCTAGATTTTATCTCATCAAAGGGTTGGCTAGCTGGAGGCTAGTCTGTGACAAAGCTCGACTCCTGTATTTTCCCTTGCTTTTGGGTGGGACGCTTTTCTTAAATATGCATTCATCAGGCACACTATGCTCTTTATTCTTTTGTTTAGCCAGCTCCACTTTCCCACCCATGGGGCCTCCCTGTACCTATTTTCCCATGCTGAGGGAAGGAGGGGCCCCTGGAATCTGCTCCGACAGGCACAGGGATCCAGGAAACCACACCGGTGCTCATGGCTGTCACTCCTGACGTTGGGCTCTAAGTGGGATGCTGGTTTAAAAATGTCAGACCGAGATTTCGGAGGAGCCATATGACAAGTCAATGGGATTTATATGCACAGGTTGGGATTCCCCTCACCTAGCTTCAGCCAGCCAGGAGTTAAATAGCCAGTGTACATCAGATGTCTAAGCAGCCCTTTAAAATCAGGGAAGGGATCAGCACTTCCAGAGAAATTCATTCAAAGTAGCTTATACAAGTATCTAAGTATCTATATTCCAAGTGTTTTAAGATACGAAGTTTCCATAGACACCTTTGGAAATTCTACAATCAGTCTACCATAGCAGATCATATAAGTGCTGCTCTTGATGTTGATGGAAATAATTCTGTTGATGGAAAATGCATTCTGTGGAAGATGATATGAAAATTATGTGGGTGAAAAAGAGAAATTTCTTCCTTTTTTTAATTTTTTTAAATTTTTTTTTTGTTCGTAGGGTGGAAAAATCCCAGTGAGATGGACAGCTCCAGAGGCCATTCAGTACCGCAAATTTACATCAGCCAGTGATGTGTGGAGTTACGGAATAGTTATGTGGGAAGTAATGTCTTATGGAGAACGGCCTTACTGGGACATGTCAAATCAAGATGTAGGTTTGTCTGCTCATGAGCATGTGTGTGTGTTAGTAAAACAAAAATTACATATTGTGAACACGTACATATGTGTTTCACTGTAAATGCATAAAATGTTGGTTTAGAAATAAGACTTATCAAAGTACTGAATGAAATGAAAAAGTTACAGAGCTTTCACTTTTTACCAAAATCAAAATCTTTTTTTTTTTTGTCACATGGATATTGTAGGTTTCTGTCCTAAGTATCAATTAAACTGGAACATCAAAAACAGTAATATGGTGTCTTCACTTAACTATGCTTAAGCATGGAAAAAGAATTAATTTTTTTCCAATAAAAAATAATTCTGAGGTTTTTGACCTTAGAGCAATGATTAATCATTTGAAAAAAGTTGTTAAAATTTGAGTGGCAGTTAATGACCTACTTTGGCTTTTTCAAGTTAATTATGCTGATTTAAAAGTACCCTTGTTTGCATAAAATATGATCCAGAGCAACAGGTCAGCAGTAATAGAACAGATGGGTGTTAATCTTGACTTCTGACAGGAGTATCTATTAATATAGAAATTACACAGGAAAAAGCCATACAGGTGTGATAGATGTCAGAAAGAGTCTCATTTAAAGTTCTTCAGGTTGGAGCTTGAGTGGTTTTTTTAATTGTTATTTTAATTTTTGATTGAATGATCAACATCAAAGTTGGAAAAAAAAAAAAGATAAAAGTGTAGATGATGAGTCAGTTTGGCACAGTGCAAAGTTGTTAATATTTGACAGGTCTCAGTGTCAAAGATTTCATGGACTGTCAAAGTATGGACAAACAAGTCCTTGGGGCAGAGAAAGAAAAATATTTACATTCCCCAGACACCCAGTAGAGTTTCATTTCTTTTGACACCTTCCTTCTGTACTAGATTCAAACATAAAAGAAGTCTGACAGGAATATAAGATGCCTCAAAGGCAAACCTTAGCTATCTTTCAGGGAACAATAAGGAAACACTTTTAAATAGAGGAGAAATTTTGATATCTTCATGCTTCTTATTAGATTTTGAAAAGTATTCCTTCTGTTGAAAACTGCATGTAAAACACATGAGTGAGCCTCTTTCCAAAAATAACTAATTGCCACTTCTTACAGTTTTGTCCCTTTTTACCATCTTTCATGATACTCTTCAATATCACGTAGTTAAAAAAAATGCATCAATTGATTGGTAACATAATTCCAAATATTCTTGCATGTTGTGATCTTCAGGCATGTTCTTCCATAACATATACACATCCTACCAATCCCTAGATAATCTATGACGAAAATATTTAAAATCACCTAATATGTTATTTGTTCTCCTTCAAAGTCACCAGTTGGAATATTTAATGGTAATGAAAAATTCTAAATGTGTTCTTCTAATTTTGCACTCAGTTTTTGTATTTTAGTGTATCATTTTGCCTAAAAGTGGTTGTAGGTGTAGTCATAGAGCAGACCAGATCTCCTAAATAATAGGCCTCTCTGACTTTGGATCTTTAGATAGCATTTCACTAATCCTGCCCTTCCTCCTTTAAACCATTGCTTTACACTGATGGAGGATACATATTTGCATTGTGAACTCTTTTCAAGCAAAACCCTCCTTTTTAGCAGTGACCTGGGGCAAGGGTGCACCAAAAGAACACTCACCCTACAAACTCCCTGCAGAGGCATGGCAGGCTGAGCACAGATGATAGACAGAGGTCCCAACTTCCCTGAGCAGTGGACTCACCTCATCTTAATCCTTGCTAGTAACAGTAGCCCTCAAACCCCCGTTCAACTATTAGACTGCTGATGTTCTTGCTCCCATTTTGTTTCTGACCTCAGTGCAGATTAGTTCTTCAGAGAAGGGCAAGGCTATACTTCTGGATTTCTTACCATTATTATAATCTCTAATTTGTATTATTATTGTATGACCATAGTCAGAGCTACAACATTACATTGCCCAGTTACCCATATTTAATACTTCCTTGTTGGCATCTAGTATATAAAGTAACCAGACCCAGTCCTCTTCTATCCTGTTTTGCATCCTCAGCCTGCTTATGGTAAAAACGCAGTCTTAACAGTATTCCCTTTTACTCTTTTTGCAGAAAAAGCAGAATTTCAAAAACTAATTGTGGGAAGTGTAGATAATATAAATCAATTCTATTAGTGAGAACTCCAGCTGTTTTCTCTTTGCAGCTTTGCTTATTTAAAAAAAAAAAATAAAATCCTGCATCTATTTCATTTTCTTTGAATACTGATGTTTTGAACCACACCTCCTCCTTTCTTAGCAGAGTGGACACATGTTGTATTTTACTTATCAATATTTTAGAATATTTTTTCAATGTTTTGGATATTCAGTGCAATTCCATCCATCTCTAGCTGACTCATTTCATATTTCCCAGTTTCACTTTTCTAGCTCAGAATACACATCAGAGAAGCTGATTCTTAAGTAACACCTTTCAAAAACACCATCATCATCATCTTGATGACCAGTTCTCTTCAGGTTTATCTGCAGTTCATAGTGAATGGGGAAAACTCCTGTTCTGGTCCGTTCATTCATGTTTTCACTCTCCGTTACATTCTTGGATAGAGTCTTATGTAGATGGTTTGCCAGTTCTAAGGGTATTAGATATTTTAGTTGTTGCACTGTTGTTGCTGTCACCTACTTTTTAATTTTTCATCGGTGATCCCTGTCTTCTGACCTCTTAAGCAACTACTTCATTTGTAGCACATCATACATAGTATCAAAGTGTTCTGACCCTTTGCCATTTAGAGGGTCAGAAATTCCTGCATTACTTTTCACAGCACAGCAATTGTCCTGTAGACACTGTAGATTATTTTTCACTTTCATTCCACTACTACTTCTAAGCATAAGGAGCTGTTCTTTTCTTTTTCCTCTTAATATAGCTCTAAAGGATCTTACATTTTACTTTTAATGTTTTCTTCACTATATAGATCTGTTCTTCCAATTTCCCTGTTCTTCTGCAGAAAACCTCTCTCCACACCCTCTCTGACAGACAACTTCAACGTTTGTAAAAGGTCACTGCACTCAGTCTTCAAGGTGTGAATGTTTCTGCAGGAATTGAATATTTCTCAGTCAATTTTGAGCTGTAGGACAGTACTGTCATCTAAATGTTCAGAGAGAAAGCTGAGGCCTAGGGAGATGAGGTGACTTCCCTAAGGTCAGAAGGACATTCTGTGACACAAAACTGCAGTGAGTGCCTTACCACTGGGCTATGCCTTCTCTTTTCACAAAATTTCTTTTATGCAGAAGGTTTTGATACAAAACCTGGCTGGATTTCAGCCAGCTTTTTGAAGGTCATTCTGTATTGTCTGCAGTTCTGTCTACTTTGCAGTCCACTACTTCTGCATTTTCTCACACAACCTACAGAATATTTTCTTTCTGAGGTTATTATTTTTACTAAAACCTGGATATTCACCAGCTTTGTTTATCATACCAGATCTACATCCCAGAACTACATCTAGAATAGCTTCTGATCTTGCTTTCTATACAAAATGAGGGAGAAGACAGTCCTATGCACTCCCCTTCAGGAACAAGCACCCTTCCTTAGCAATTCTAATGCTGCTGTGTCAGTCAATGTCAGTACACTTGAAATCCCCCATGAACAGTGTTTTAGCCCTTTTTCACTAGCTTTTCTTATCTGCCTTGCTTCCTGATGTGCTTTTTTATTCTGCCCTCAAGGTTTACAGCAGTTTGCTGTGATTTTACTTTATCCATTTTTATTTTTTACTCAAACCCAAATGGACTTGGCTAAGGAAGTCAATGGGTGGGTGTAATTCTAGGTTCAGACATTTATTCTGTCCTTTGATCATATCATCATCTAGCAGCATCTCTTATTAAATCTAACTTTCTGTGATATATTAAAATAGCATTTACCCAGGTCTTTCTCTCTCACATGAGACAGTTCTACTTCTTTATCATTAATATAACATGGGTAGACATAGAATACAACTTTTTTCCTTAGCAATTTCTATCTGCTAAACATTTTTGTTGGATCCTTTTATAATACCTTCAGGCTTCTTGTATTTTATATGTGCATGCACAGATATCCATCCATTTAAAAGTCAGTTGCTTCTTCCACACACTCTTTCATAAAAACCTTGGGGCTAGTAATAATGCTTTCTGAAATAACTCAATTTATCAATCTATCTGCTGCTCCCTCAGTGAATTTAATTGTTGTTCCCTGCTGCTCACTTGTCTAGGTAATACAGCTATGTTCTGCACATATAGAACAATATGCTTAATAAGCCCAAAGATAAAGCTGGGGAAATTATTTGAAGACCTGAAGGCTAGTGTCAAAACAACAGACTCATATTTTTTCAACACCAATGGCAAATTTTAGTTTATTGATTATTTTGATTTTTGATTATTTTATTTTATTCTATTTTATTCTATTTTATTTTATTCTATTTTATTTTATTTTTTCTTAGGTATTTGAACTGGGTAGCAATATGTATTCTTTAAATTACTGTTGATGAAAAATGATTAACTATTTTGGCTGCTAGGTTATAAAAGCAATCGAAGAAGGCTATCGTTTGCCAGCACCCATGGATTGCCCAGCAGGACTACACCAGCTGATGCTGGATTGTTGGCAGAAGGAACGTGGTGAAAGGCCAAAGTTTGAGCAGATAGTTGGCATTCTGGACAAAATGATTAGAAATCCAAACAGCTTGAAAACTCCCCTGGGAACCTGTAGCAGGTAAGAAAAGCTTTAGTGTGTGTTCTTATGATGGTGCACATGGCTGGGCTCTGGATGTTCTGCTTGGTGGCTGGTTCCAGTTCACACTTATTTCATCTGTCTTTCAGTTTTTCCTTCTTTCTGTTCCCTGTTTTTCTCTTTCCTCATTTGCCCTTCTTTTTTACCATGCTAAACAAAGCCAAAAAAGGACTTTCTTAGTAAAAAAAAACACCAAAACAACAACTGAAATAAAGTACATATCGCGGAACTAACACATTTCTCAGTAAACTACTGCCTGCTCATCACTCTTTCCCCACTCTCACCACTGGTCTATGTTTTCCTTGTTTCTTAAAATCATAAAGTCTGGAGGGCAAGGATCATTTCCTACTGTGTGTTTATATAATGCATCCCTTGCCCTAGGAACTGCTACAGTAGAAATAGTAATTAACAATACTCATGCTTGGCCAACGTACCTTGACATGCTACACTCTAGATTTTTATCTTTCATTTTCTGGCTTTTAGTCCTTTCAGTGATTGCATCTCATTGTATTTCATGATGTAGTTTTTAATGGCTTCTTCATAAATTTCAGGTGAATTATTTAATCATGATAATCTTTTGATCTGCTAACAAGACCACTGTACTAGGGAACCAACTGGCCTGTGTTCTGCTCCTTATTCTTCTAGTGACTGATTTGCTGTGTGACCTTAAGACTTTGTGTCTCTGCTCTTTCCTTGTCTTTGTTTTGTCCCATCCAATTGAAAAATAGGAGTAGCTACTACTATATTTTCTAAGATGCATAAAAGAATAGCATCTTTTATTTTATTCAGCAACATAGAGACAGCTTCTGTCATGCTAGGTAATAAGGTTGATTTTTTATTGGTAACAGTAGTTCATTAGGCTGATTTTGCTCACTCTGACCTTTCATCTTTTATGTGAATAAGCTTAGGAAGTACATATCGTGAGCTGCAGAGCAGTCAGGAGCTATTCACAGAATAATCTAAACTGTGTATAAAGGCCTATTACTTTCTGCTCTCCACATTTTTAATACCCAAAACTTATTTGACTCTCACCTTGCTAAATACTCCCTGATGTTTTACTCTCTTTGGAAACAACTTACTTTCCTTTTTCCTTCTCCATAGACCAATTAGCCCTCTTCTGGACCAGAACACTCCCGATTTTACCACTTTCTGCTCCGTAGGCGAATGGTTACAAGCTATTAAGATGGAAAGATATAAGGATAATTTCACAGCAGCAGGCTACAACTCTCTTGAATCAGTTGCCAGGATGACTATTGAGTAAGTTAGTACTGGGCATGTTTAACTTGCATTTAGGGAATTTCTAGGTACAACAATACACAGTGTTCAACTCCAAAACTTTACCCTGAGTACTAACATTGTACCTGGGGGTCAAATCAGCCATTTTAGCAGCTGATGGTGTTGAATTAGAGCATCTCATGAAAGGGCAAATACCCTGCTACTTCTCTGTGGCATCACTTTTTTCCCTGCCTTTCAAACGAACTGAAATAACACGAAGGGACTAGAATGTGGCCCCTTCCAAAGCATGTATGTATAGGAAAATAACCACTTTGCCTCCACCACCTAATTGGTACCTTTTTCCCAATGTGCTCTAGGAAGATGTGGAATTTTCTTCTAATTGGCTGGGAGCTCTCTGTGTCCTGCAAGACAGGACTTTGCATCAGGATAAGTCTGTAGAAGCAAAAAAAATTTCTGAAGGCAAGCATGGCCTGTATCAGTACTGTCATCTTAAAACAGGTCTTCTTGGCACCCTGCAAACAACTTTCTTGTCCTGGTGGTTGCCAAACACATGTAATTCCTCTTAGAGAACGGTGGGTTTCTAAAAAAGTTTCTAACCCAATATTCTCAAGGTTTCAACCCTATTCTTATCTGCCTGGTGTCACTAGGGGTCTCAGCCTATAGCTTGGGAACTGTCTTCAGAGTCCACAAGCTTCTAGCATTAGTTGGGGCAGAGCTGAAACAGCTGCTCCTCATTCATTTGCATGATGGGAATGTGTCAATACACAAAGGCATCTAGGCTTCTTTAGGAAACAGACTATGATCCCCAAAATCTTGTATTTATACATAACTTTGGCCCGAAAACCACCCGAAGTATTTTACAAGAGAAGTGTCTTTGTCTTCGGGTGTCCTTAAAAGACACACCATAAGATTATCAGATAAGATTATGTAAAACATACTGACCTCCTTCTCAGATGTGGAGACCCACAGAATGTAATTGCATGACACCTGTCATGTAATTGCACTCGTTGCTGAGAGGTTGAACAGTGCCTGTATGAACTTTCCACTAATGAGCTGAGGTTACAGCGTAGCTTCCATGTCAGAACCCTGTAGTCCAAACCACTGCGTAGCTTTGACTCACAGTTGAATACCATACAATAGCAGTCTAAGTTGAAAAATTAACAATGTACGCATTTATCTTCCCCAGGGATGTGATGAGTTTAGGGATCACGTTGGTTGGTCATCAAAAGAAAATCATGAGCAGCATTCAGACTATGAGAGCACAAATGCTACATTTACACGGCACTGGCATCCAAGTGTGATAGACATTTCTCCCTTATGAGGGAGGTGACAGACTGAGAGAACAGCACTGGCCTTCAGTATATATGAAGTGCTGCTAGAAGACACTTGATTTCCTGGGTCCTTCCTGCAGTGAATAGAAGAGCTACAAGAAGCACCTACAGACTTGAACTCCTAAGTGCCACCAGAATTTATGAAAAGGGAATTAGGATCCACCAGTGGTGGCAAGGAAAACAGCAGTGACAATAAACAAAGTACTACCTGAATAAACATACAAACACCTTGAGCTCTCTAACCTCCTTTTTATCTAATAGACTTTTTAAATGTACATAAAAAATTAAAAAAGAATATATTTGTCAGATAAAAATCATGATATTATTGTTGAATTCAACAAAATATTTTCCTTAAATCTGTGATTTCTGAATCTTTTTTTAATCATTTGTGTTTATTCTTCATAAAGACTTTCTTTTAGTATGATGTTTATATCTTTGGACCTTTTTAGTGCTAATTCAATGACACATTACTACACTGGGTACCTCTGAATTTGAGTTCCTAGAAATTTAAGAAGCATGACCAAGCAGTGTATATCTATCCAAACTTTGGTATCCCTTTGTGCCATTTTCTTTTGTTAAATCAACACCGTATTGACATGGCTAGCTAATTGGCAGGGAGTCAGGAAAATGCAAGTTGCCAAGAGCTCTGATATTTTTTAAAGAATTTTTTAAGGTTATACATATGCTATCTTTTAAAAGAAAATAAAAGAGAAAAAAAAAAAGTAAGAAAAAGAGAAGCAATAATGACCCCTAAGTAGTTCTAGGCACTTTTAGCAAATTGTTTGCAAGATGATTTTAATGGACTAGAGTTAAGCTGAGATACATTCTAAGATGTAGATCTACAACTGTAAACCTGCTGAGACACAGCATTGAATGGACAAGTGATTGTAGGAATGTCTCAGAGTGTGGGTGCAGTTCTCCAGTGTTACCTAAACCATTTAATCTGAGCACATCACATTTTTTTCAGTACTCTGCATTAGCAAATCTAAGAGAAATAGCTGGTGTATATTTTCTATGAGTTTAAGCCGTATGCAGTCCAGCTGTCAGAATAAGGACATAGCTTTTATATGAGAACTGTAGAGCATGAGACAAGGGGCAGTTCAGAATTTTCAATTTTTTTACAAGCTTTTGCTGCTCTAAATGAACATGCATGTGCATGGTCACACATACGCAACAGTCATGCATCAGGAACAGAGATGCAAAGGTAGTTGCCCAATGGAATATCTTTTTACACCATTTACATATATATACATTTTGTTTGATTAAAATATTTAATTACCAGAAGCAATAATGAACAGAGTCTTTACAGATATTGCAAGAATGTCCATGAACCAGAGAGTAATGCTTTAAAAAAAAAATCTGAAAATTGTGAACTACCCCAGCAATGAAATGCTGTACTTCCAAAGAGAATTGGGCTGCTTCTATTGATTTTGATAGAGAAAGATCCCAGGGATCAGTCATAAATTGGTCTCGTTTGATAATGTGGGCATCCACACAAAAAAAATAAAAAACAAAAGAAAAACCTTGTAAATGTTCCTTTGTAAAACTTGTAAATTTTATTTATACTGTCTTGTTTTGTACACACATTTATGTGTAGTGAGCTCTGAATACATTGAAAATGCACTATATTTTTCTATTTTACTTGCAGAGCATCACAAGCAAACATGTATATTCAGTGCTACATAATGTGTTTTCCCACATTTAGGACCAAAGATAGTTATCAAAAACTTAAATGCATCCTTTTCCCCTCCCTTCTTTTTTCTATCCCTTTTTAGATCACTGTACAGTGTTATATTTGTCATTTTATTTATTTGTTTCACTAGAAAAATCAGTTTGGTTATACTAATTTCTTGTCCCACCAACCTTTGTTGAAGAAAATCTGTAAAAAGCTTTTAACTAGCATAATCCCGATACACAGACACTTCCATTTGTAATCTTTGTAATAGACTGTAAATATATTTTTGGAACTATAATGCAATGTGCATAAGGGTTATTTTTCAGTGTCCATATATGATTGTTTATACAATTCACAGCACTTTACAGTCATGCTGAGAAGCCTAATTTATTGCCTGGATTTGGGCAGAGTAAGAAAAAATGGTGACTATTCTTATTTCATATTAGATTGTCATTCAGTCGTAACAGAGTTATTTTCACGTATGCAGCTCAAGCTGGTTTTTTAACTATTGAAATTAATTTTCTGAAAAATCTGGAGTAAGACGCAGAGTAGACTGCATGCCCAATATTGGAAAAAGTGCACGCAAGCACTCGGCCAAGGCACTTCAAGTAGCCATTAGAACACAATTAAAAAATACACAGCTAATAAACATCCATTTTGTGTTATAACAAATGCTAAGTGCCTCACTACTGGGGTGAGCATCTGTGGGCAGCTGGGCAGGGTGCTTGACAGACTTGTTGCTGCTTTAGGCACCCAGCTAGGAATTTAGGAGTCTTTAAGTTCAGACACCTGCTTCCTTATAAATCTCGGCTACTGTTTCTAAGGGCTTGGTCATCAAAGGTGTGATGCAGCAATGCTGGTGTTGCTGAGAACCTACAAACCCTAAATGCAAAAGAATTGAGGCCAGGCTTCACCTTTAGGACTTGTTTGATATTCTGAAGCACAGAGGCCTCGAAGCATGTGTGGTGATTTGGGCTCACGCATGTACAAGTGAGGGCCCTAATGGTATTTCTTCCTTAATTTTCCTGGTTTGATTTAAGCCATCTTCTTTGAATAGTAAATATATTTTAGCATTCATCTATATACCTTGACTGCCTTAATGTTGCCACAGATTTTTACACATTTGAGAGTGGTAGAGTAGACCCAGAAAGCACAATCGCGATCAACCGCAATCAATCAGATAACTTATCTACATGTACAGATCATTACTGCAATTTAGAGCACATGCATGTAAATGGATTTGTAGCTGGTAGAGCAGCAAAATATTGACATTGGTTACAGTTCCCCAGGTTTCAGAAAACACAGTCCAGGGTAAGAAAAAAGTGCCAGAGAAAGTTGATTTTCATGGGAGGAACGGAAGAATAAGTTGGGTCACAAGGAGAATGAAAGGCTAAATGATGAAAAAAAAGAAAAATTCAGTTCTGGCTTTATTTCAAAGAATTTGGACATTGTGCATTGCTAATGACAGATTATCAGGCTGTCAGTGAAACTCATATTTCTTGACTTTATTCATCTGCAAGCATCTAGAAGAGAGATGCCTAAAAAAAAGCAGGATGAATCTCCCTCTGGGAATGCTTATCTCTATTAGATGTAGAGGGAAGCCAGATGATTAGCTTAAATTAGGCATCTAATATCTATACAGCTAAAGTTAGGTGAAGTGATTCCTACCCTGTGTGTCCTTGGCTGCTACAGTTTTCCTTGTAAGCCGAGTGTCACAGAGAGGCAGCTCCTCCACTGCTGGTATATCCCAGAATGTATTTAAACTGGGCTTTATTACAGAGAGAGGTGATTTATTATTATTATTATTATTCAGAGACTTGTAACAGGCCATCTAAATGCTTTTTGTATGTGGATACCAATTATTGAAAATTTTTGTGATTGTTCTGAGGAAGACCCACCTAGTAAATTACAGTTATTTAATATTTTAAATAATCAGAAATATTTGCTGACATACTGCTTTAGTCCAGAGGTTATGTGATCAGATATGATAGTTGCTGTTTGCAAAACCATGTTTATCTAAAGCCTTGTCATGTAAAATCTCCAGGAGGCAAAGATGCTTCAATGTATCTCAAATTGAATGTTGCCCTTAATATCTCAATAATTGAGCTCTGTCTGTATTATTTTCAATTTTAAATGAGGTTTTTTATATTTGTTTAAGCTTGAATTATCTGGCAGCCACTGAGGGAGTTTGAAAAAGTGATTTTAAATTAAATTTGCTTTTTTCCACTGATAGTAATATACGATGAATAGTTTCCACTGTTTTGAATGTTACAAATCTATTGCTTTAATGTGGGGGATGAATGGGGTTTATTTTTGTTTTGTTGTTGGTATTTTTTTACATTTATTGGTTAGTAGTTGAAATAAAAAAAAATAACAATTTGTTCTTAATTTTCTAAGTAATTCATATATAGCAATTTTGAGAATGATTTAAATTCCATGACGTTTGGGTTACTGCTGGGAGGATGACCATGTCACTACAGCCATAATGCCAGGTGATACAGAAACACCCTGCCACAAGGGCAGGTTCAGCCAACATTCTGTTGCCAAGTAATGATATGAAGCAATTCACTGGCTGTGTGAAAGAAGCGAAGGACAACTCAGCCAAAAAATGGTCATTTCACCTTCTAAAACTATGTTTGTGACATGTTAGAGCTAAAACATTTCTAATTAATTGCTTCCCTGCATGTGGTTTAAAATTTATGTGCTCATGATTTGCATTTTGTCTTTGGTGAATTTTTTTTGTTGGTTGGGCTGTTTCTCTTATTTGTTTTATTTTAAACAAGTGACATTTGAGGGTCTCATGGAAGAGAACAGATCCTGTACAGAATGACAAGTGCTGGTTTAGAAAAGTGTAATACAAATTCTTGCCCGTGAGCCATTCTGGCAGCAGGTGCTGCAGGGGTATTCAGAGAGTTGGTGCTGTGATTTGCTGAGCAACTATCACAACAGGTTTTCTCCATCTTCAAGACCTGTTAGGATTGTACTTCTGATCAATTAACTGATATATGGAAACAGGTGAATTTTTTCCCCACTAACTTGAAATGGACCTACATTTGGTAGATTTGAGATTTCCAAGACTACTCAAAAGGCTTACTCTAAAACGAATTTCTAGTAAAACAAGAAATCCTGGGCTGCAGCCTGTATTTTTTCTTGTATTCTCTTAAGAGTTTCAAATGTAGCCAACAATTACTTTTAAACAGAGATCTTTACTGTTTGCATAGAGTAGCCCTCTGTTTACTAGGAAATAGGCAATTCTGCAATTAAAGTTCTTGCAAAAATGGATTGGAGAGGAAATACAATGGTTTGGGGGAAAAAAATAAAAAGAAAAACCTCATCTTACAAATGGACTGTGAAACCCAAAATATAACAGTGCTCCCCATTTTTGTAACACAGGAATTTGAAAAATATAAAGGATTAAACCACAGGCATAAAAACTGCAATATCCTGATGAAAGAGTTGTGGCAGAATGCAAGCTAATTTTGTGAGAGTTTTCCCTCTGGATTTGGTTATTTTTTTGAGATTTTTAAGTTACAATAATTGATACATGCATTTAGAGCCAAATCTGTTGGGACAGGCCAAGGGATAAAATTTGAATGTCTACAATATCCACGAAATTCTCAGAGCACTTTCAGGGTAGGCAAGGTTTAGGCAGTTTGAAAGTGAAAGGAGTGATATGTACACCCTGTACGTTGCATCCAACAAGATTATGAAAGGTTAGAAATTATGGATGAAAACCCTCACTTTGGTACATGGTGAGAAGTCAGAAGATGGGAGGGAGTGGAAAGAGAGCTGTGAAGTCATTCACAGTGTCTGAGTCAAAGTTGTAGGGATCCACAAGACATTTCTGGCAGGGGAGTTAAGGAGTGTGAAGATTTTTTAAGTAAAGAGACACTGTTAGTATAATATACCTAATAATGAAGTGTGGAGTGGTTTCAGTACTCTGATTTTTCCTCAGGCCAGATTGGAATTTGTCAAAGAGACTAAATTGAGACAGATGGGAAAGCAACTGGTAATACACAACTCATTCAAGCAGACTTGAAATCGAGACATGAAAGGAGAATTTTACAATAAAAGCTTGAAAATAAGACATGAACTGTGATGGTATTTACTTTCAGATGATTTTAGAGTAGCTCTCTTTAAGTCTTGTATAGTGATAGCAGATTTTAGCACTTATACCATACAAATTGGGTGAAATTAATGTCTAATTAAAGTGACCAAAAAAGAACCACAAGTTAAAAAATAACTAATGTCTTGATAGACTATGAAAAAATATGTGATACAGCCAGGCAAAGCTTGTGTAGCCAGCCAAATGAATCTTGGATAAAACAAGACATAATGCCTGGTGCCAGAAGAGCTAAATCAGGAATAGAAAATCTATTCATCCATGGACCAAGGCTTCTGCATTTAATTGCACCAAATAACCAATTGTAGAGCTGTGCTGCTAATAAGAATTAATAATAAAAAACTACCACTTAGACATCCTCTGATGAATCATAACATGGCTAACACCGAAAAACACACACAGGGCTTCGAGCCATAGCTGTGCCAAAAGACTTTTACGTGTGCTACTGGTATTAGAGTTCCATGACTCTGAGTATGTCAAGTCATTTGCAGACTGGAGACATTATAGCCCCAAACCCATAACTAAAGCCTTCCTTTTTTGTGCCAAAACAAAACAGAAGGAATGATGAGAGTCTGTAGGATTGAACAAGTGCAGTAGAAATTATCTTGTGATTATGTTGCCCAGAGATGTAGAGTCTCTCTCACTGGAGATATTCAAGAACCATCTGGATGCAGTTGTGTTCCGTGTGCTCTAGGATGACCCTGCTTGAGCAGTGAGGTTGGAACAGATGACCCAGTGTGATCCCTTCCAACCTGACCCATGCTGTGATTCTGTGATTGCTTCCTTAGAATTATGAAGAAAACCATGAATTTATATTAAGGAACAAACTTCCTGATCCAAAGATACAGTCTCACTGAGAAGAAAAAACATCCATTATTTTTACGTAAACATTCAAACCTGGCTTGCAAGAGGCTAAACTGAATGATAGATAGGTAGGTAGGTAGATAGATAGATAGATAGATAGATAGATAGATAGATAGACAGACAGAATGTATCCACATTGATCCCTCTCATTTCATGTCTGTAGAAACATTACTCGGGCAATTTCTTGACTGTTGTTCAACCTGTGTTACTATGCTAACTTCCACTGGCTTCCTGAAGGGCTGCATGTCCATTTTAACATGTCTGCTGTAAAATGTTTTCATTTCCCTTTCTCAGGGACAAACAGCCTTTGC